AGTCACCGGGAAAACTGATTCATTACCTTTGCAAATTTTCCACGTTTAGGCATACTAATATCTCCTTGGAGATGTTGTTGAAGAGCCGTCTTTGGTTCAGTAGTCCGCTCAATAGTATCAACATCTCCGGGTCGATCTTCATGTAGAACAGAGGTACAGTTCTAACATGAACTCGACCAACACTTTTGGACCAGAACCTTAAGTTGGTGCCTTAGACCAACTTGAACATCTCAAACTGTGAAACCTATGGATTCTTTTGTTGCCTTCAATCATAAAAGTTCATTATATTGTTTACCAAACATGCTTTTAGAATCTCTGCATTTCTTTTTGTCTTCTATAGGAGGGGTGGTGTTGTGGTAAAATGTGTGGATGAACTAAATCTTGTTCTCAAGAACCATAGCTTCATCATCTCCGACTATTAAAAGAGCAGGCTTCTTGCCAACAAGAAGATTCTTACAAGAGAGAACACACTCCAATCAATTCAATTGTTATCTTATGGTTGATTTCTACTTTTTGCCAACCATATTCGTCATCTATGGTGGAGCCATGCAGTTTGAGGCACGATATAGGAGATAGTTTGTCAATATTCGATTTTCAGTTGCTGCTTGAACCAGTTGCAGATCCAACCATGAGTTTGGACACGGGCTACAATACAAATGTATATGGATTTATCTTAATTTAAAAAAAGAGAGAATAAAGTGGACATTTGCAGGGACGGATACGGGCTATAGTCCGATCAAGCTTGGCCCGTGCATGTATCTGTCCCTGGCTTGAACTGATCAATACAACACACAGCAACATCAAGTCCATCAGATGGTTCATTCTTTTAGTTGTGCCTCTTTAGATTATATATATATAAAACTTTTAAAACTATAAAATATTATATTTACTTAATAATTTCTACCATTAATCATTACACAATTTTCAAAGAAAAAATGTTGAACACTGAGGAAAGCACCGACTGTAAACTTCAGGACACCGTGAAATTAGTCGAGGTGCGCGTAAATTGGCCCGGAGTTCCACGATCATAAAAAAAGACTTTTAAAAAAAGGAAAAAAAATAATAAAGTGTGCCTAGTTACGAACTAAGCGGTCAACTATATCAAGTTGACCGATTTATTCGTGCTTACGGTCAAGGCATGGCATTTTGTTCGCACCTTGTCTAAGAGCATTTTTTAGAACACTATCATTGGATTAAGGGTGATTATATTCACACAACAATTTTTTGTACCACATTCTAATTATAAAAATGGTACTCCATATTTGCCTACTTTTATTTTTATGTCATAAACTTTTTTCTCAATGCATTGTCATTTTTAATTTTCAATTAATTAACATATTTTATCTCTAATCATGATTTTCTTCCTAATATTTTTGCTAAAGTGCATTGCAAAGATGGGCAAATATTTTGTTTAACTTTTGTATTAGTTATTTAGTTCGAATATTTAAAAATAGGATTTGTCTACAAGTACACAATACATTACATAATGGTTTACACTTGCTGAGCTGGCGTCTTCCCTAGTAAAAATTTTTTTTTGAGTCAATTTCTCGCCAAATTAAAAAAAAAAAAATCAGATTTGTCTAAAGAAACCCTTCCCTCCATCACATATCCTTCGACTTCATTTTAGAGGCAAAAAAAAATGGAAGATGAGGAGAACCTAAAGTCACAATATTTGGAAAATGAAGCAGACGAAATCGATGTCGGAAGATTCGACGCCGGCGAGTACAATGATTTGAGCCCAACACATTTCCCCCATCAGTTGCAAGTGAGTCATTTTCTCAAGTGAGCGAAAATGAAAACACGTACCCATTAGTCAAAGGTGATGACATCAACGCCGATGATCTTGAGGTCGACGAGATCGCAGTCGACGATTTTGATGGCCAGGAGAACGCAGGTATTCACTATTTTTTATTTTTAAAAATCTTATATTGTGCACATTATTGATCTGAACAATGACAAACACCCAAATATATTTTGTAGTCTCTAAGCATTTGTTAGGATCTGAAATGTGTAATTCATTTTAGTTCTTCAAACATTTATTTCCATTGAAAAGAAGAAATGAAAAGAAAAAACCCTCTTTTCATCTCTGCAGTTCAAAAAAGATAAACATTAAAAAAAATAAAAATTAATGGAAGCTCTCTCAGATTCCAAGTTGTTCTTGCTCTGTGCATTGTTGATTTCAGTTGTACAGTCCATACATTGCAGTGTTATTTATGACAAGAAATCTCTTATTATTGAATCAACGGCTATCTGGCTCCATTGTGTGTGTGTGCATATATATATATATATATTTATTTATTTATTTATTTATTTTGGGTTTCTTTGACATTTATATATTTTTGGTTTGAGGAAATTTATGTGCAGGTTATGAAGGAATTGACATTATTGTGCCAAGGCCTGGAATGAAGTTCAAAGACGAAAATGAAATTTTTAAATTTTACAAGAAGTATGCATACCAAGTCGGGTTTCCTGTCAGAAAAAGAAATTCAAGGAAGGGTGAAGACGGGATAGTAGGATATGTATGCTTCACATGTGGTCGAGAAGGACGACAAACCACTGCTACAAGTTCTTCTTTAAATCCTCAGCCAACAATCCAAACTGGATGTAAAGCGAGGGTGACAGCATGTTCGGAGATAGGTGGAACATGGCGTATTAACACTGTCTATCTCGAGCACAATCACAGAACAAGCCCATCCAAATCGAGGTTATATCGATGTAATCGCGAAATTAGTGCTTGCATCAGAAGACAGCTTGAAATAAATGACATTGCAGGAATTTCATTGCACAAAAGTTTTAACTCCGCCGTAGTTGAAGCCGGTGGATATGACAAGATGGTGTGTGTTGAAAAAGATTGTAGAAATTTTATCGACAAAGTGCGACGGTTAAGGCTTGGTGAGGGAGACACCACTGCAATTCAAGCCTTTTTCTCAAGAATGCAAACAAGTACTCCTGGCTTCTATTTTAGTATAGATTTGGATGAAGATTGTCCGTTGAGGAATGTGTTTTGGGCGGATAACAAATGCAAAGAAGTCTATAAGGAATTTGGTGACGTGATCACTTTTGACACCACATACTTGACCAACAAGTACGATATGCCCTTCGCTCCATTTGTTGGAGTTAATCATCACAACCAATCAACACTTCTTGGATGCAGCCTAATTTTGAATGAAGATACTTGGACTTTTGTATGGTTGTTTAAGACATGGTTGGAATGCATGCACGGTCAAGCTCCAAGTGGAATTATAACGGATCAAGATCGGGTTATGGAAAATGTAATTGAGATCGTCTTCCCAAACACGAGACACAGATTGTGTTTGTGGCATATTTTAAAGAAGTTGCCAGAAAAGTTCGGCAACCATAGGTACAAAAATTCTATTCTTTCTAGTGTACATGGGTTGGTGTATGATACACAAAGTCCTCCAGAGTTTGAGGAAAAATGGCATACGATACTTGTACGTTATGAACTGTAAGAACATGGTTGGTTGATTGGACTTTACAATGATAGAAGGCGTTGGGTGCCATGTTATTTGAAAAATTCATTTTGGGCTGGTATATCGACCACCTAACGAAGCGAGGGCATAAATGCCTTTTTTGATGGATATGTTCATTCAAAAACTTCCCTGAAACAATTTGTAGAACAATATGAGCAGGCATTGAGAAGTAAAGTTGAAAAAGAGTTTCAAGCTGATTTCAAATCATTTTCACAGATGGTCCCTTGTGCAATAAGGTATGATATGGAGAAACAGTTTCAATCAGTGTACACGATCTCTAAGTTCAAAGAGTTCCAGCAAGAGTTTACGGAGAAGGTGTATTGTGAGATCTTATCTGTGACGGACTCATATTTAATTCCACTTACGAGGTTCGTGAGGATATCATTAGCAATGAAGGCATGAAGAAACAAATTTTTACAATTTCATTTCGTAGGGAAATTTGTGAATTTGAATGTAGTTGCCACTTATTTGAGTTTAGAGGAATTATTTGCAAGCATGCAATCTCAGTTTTAATCCGTAACGATGTGGTGTTAATTCCAGAGAGATATATATTGAAGAGGTGGAGACAAGATGTGAACCGACCTTACATGAGGGTTCCCATCAAATATGATGGTTTTGTCAGTAGTGTCGAGTAGGTTAGATATGAGCAACTATGCAATACGTTTACCGAGTTAGCAGATGTGATAACACATGATGAACAACGATGTAGGAGAATTATGGATTTGATCATGTTAGAAACAACAGAAGCATCTCAGTCGAAGTGTATTAATGTGGGCTCTCAATGTGCTGACTCAGTAGCATGTGCTAGCAGAAGCATATTGGATCCGAAGTACACGAAACACAAAGGTGCCCCTAGAAAACTTCGTAGAAAGGGCCATCTAGAAACTAGTTCAAGTAAATCTAAAAGTTCTCGAAAGGTATGAAATTTATTCAAGCTTTGCAACATACTTTTAGCTTGCAAAGTTGCTGAATTTTTTTCCCATGTTGTATAGGTGCCCATGCATAAAAGGCAGAACAAATTGGTTTCATCCACGTTCACTACTAAAGATGTTGGGACACGGGATAGCTTTGAAGTGTTGTGATGGCAATCAATAAATAGCAACAAGATTTCTTTTGCGTTCTGGGGGGCTAAAGATGATGTTGTGCAATGTAGAAAAATCCGGTTATGTGAATTTATGTACAATATTAATTATCGATTGTATAAGTTTTTGGATTCTTCTTAGGCGTTATGTAAGTTTTTGGGGCTAAAGATGATGTTGGGGGACTGAATATTATTATGAATTTTTGCTCTCTTTTCACCCCATGAAATTTGTACATGGAAGACTTGCCTACATGACTTGACTTCAATGCAATAAATTCTGGGATTTCAATTTATCATTTCTTTAGGGTTTTCTTGTTTCACCCAATTTAAGCCTCAATCACAAGATTTGATTTTTCACCATTTGAGTTCATGTGTAATAGTGTAAATCCAAGCTTTATTTCAAGTTCGTTCAAGATTATCAATTTTGCAGGGATCATTGCCACAGGTTGGTTTTGTATCATATTCTTTGTTTACGTTTTTGTGGGTTGAGTTGAATTCTGATTTAATATTTGGGTTGAGTTGAATTCTGATATAATATTGAAATTTTCTAATTTTCTATTAGAAAATGAGATGCACCCCCCCATCTGGGAAATTCTGTCAATTTCAATGGTCCATTTATTTGGTAATTAACCATGAATCTAAGGGACATTTTGATATTATTGGATCTGGATTTGGTTAGTATTGTAAGATTTTCTAGATTGTGTAATCAACTCTTATATCATTGTTAATGATCAAAATTTAATCTGAACTTAAATCTAGAAATTGAATTTCTGAATCGGGTAGTAGATTTTAGAAATTGCATTGGTGGTATTTGGGGTGTAATGGCTAATAATATGTTGGGACGCACCTAAAGAAAAATCTTGTCTCTCTGCATAGTAGTGATATTTAAGTTTTAGTGTGTGATTAATAAACTAAATGAGGCCCATAAAAATGATATTCATGTTCCAATTCACATGCATTTGTCAAATTAATTGGAAGAGATAGCAACCAAGAGATATTATCTTTTTACCAGTTTATATCAAATATTCACATATGAAAGCTATAAATGACATGAGCAATATTATCTTTTCCAAAAGAAATTCTCATTGAATCAAACCAGCTTTAAACAAACCTACACCATTACAGTACACATAACCATCCACTTACAAATTACATCTATAAAAAACTACATCATACACAGTCCTACACTAACATTACACGATAGCTTTTCTTCAATTGTCGTTGCCTTCCAAAACTCGTTTCCCCTTGCGAAGCTGAACGAAATCTCCAAGTCATCTTCATTAGTAGATACTTTAGTCAATTCTTTGAACATATGCGAGAAATCATCGAACCGATCTTTAGGCTTTGGGACACCACTTGATTCACGTTCAAAATGCAACTAATATTCTTCAGCGGGAAAAAACATTACTCCACTTGAAATACTTGCAGTCTCGAGTACAACAATGGAACATCTTTCCCATGTTTTCAGTATTCTTTTCCACCTCCATCCATTTGACGAAACCCTCGCCACATTTTGGACATGCTCTCTTCTTGGGGCATTCCAACATCGTGTGTCCTAGTTGTCTACAACTATGAAAGATTTCTCTATTCTTGCCTGCCATCAAACAAGACTAACGCAACCACAAAATAACCAAATCAGCAGCAAATTGTTCCAAGATACCAAATTGCATTGACAAATACAAGACCAATTAACATAAGATAAAAGGAACACTTGTACCGATTGTCTAGTTAACCTAACCAACATTACTTAGCATCAACAAATATGCATATTTATTTCACAGATTACTCTTTGCCCATTTGCTGTGACAAATCCATTTTTATACCCATACACTTATCATCAACAAATAAGCAAACAGAAATGGTAAGATTGACTGCATTAGTCACAAATCCATTTTTACAACTATAAACTTAACATCAACAACTATGCAAACACAAATGGCACGTTTTGTTGCACTAATCAAAACCCATTTTTATAACTATCAACTAAACATCAACAAATAAAATTATAAGCAGATTTATTCCCAAAAAATGGCGAAAACATCGAATAACCAGATTTATTCCCAAAAAAAAAAGTCGAATAACTAGAATGAGCAGGAAAAAGTCTGCTTCGAACAACATATACTAAACTCGATGTCTTTTGATTCTTCACAATAGTATGAAGTTGACGTCGATTAAGAGAGAGAAGGGCTCACGGTTCTTCAAACTGAAAAAACGGAAGAGAAGGAACTGTACAAGGAGATCGAACTCTCAAATAACCAGATTTATTCCCAAAAAAATGCAAAAAAATCGAATACTAGTAAAAATCAGTTGTTGACTAAGCAAATACAAGAAATAAGCAACTAGAATGAACAGGAAAAAGTCGGCTTCGAACAACATATACTAACCTCGATGTCTTTTCAATAGTATGAAGTCGACGCCGGTTAAGAAAAAGAAGGGCTCACGGTTCTTCAAACTGAAAAAATGGAAGAGAAGAAACTGTGCAAGGAGATCGAACTCTCAAATAACCAGATTATTCCCAAAAAAAATGCAAAAAAATCGAATACTAGTAAAAATCAGTTGTTGACTAAGCAAATACAAGAAATAAGCAACTAGAATGAACAGGAAAAAGTCGGCTTCGAACAACATATACTAACTTCGATGTCTTTCGATTCTTCACAATAGTATGAAGTGGACGACGGTTAAGAGAGAGAAGGGCTCACTATTCTTCAAACTGAAAAAATGGAAGAGAATGAACTGTGTCGGAGATCAAACTCTTGAAGAGAAGGGCTTTCACAAATCTGAGAGAGGAGGAATTGTTTGTGCAAGCGAGATTCAATTTGGGGGAAGGAGTCTTTCTTTTAAAGTTCATTTCTCTCGCGAGATTTTGGCGAGAAATTGACTCAAAAAAAAAAATTTTGACTGGGGAAGACGCCAGCTCAGCAAGTGTAAATCGTTATGTAATGTATTGTGTACTTGTAGACAAATCCTTAAAAATATGAAAGATAAATGTCTTTTTATCATTTACAATAGACATTTTGGACGAAAATCGTCTCTATAGACAAGATGTGAAAATTAATAGAAGATCTAAAATTAAAAAAAAAATCAAAAAAGAAAAATGAAATTTGAGAACGCAAGTGTAAAATAAGAAAAGTTCTGAGATGTTCATTGTAATTATATTGTAGTGTAATTAACAAAAATTGTGGTATGAATATATATACCCTTGGATTAATAAAAAGAATAGGTTAGTACTTAACGATTGCTTAAGCTTATTTTAATTGCATGATAAGTTTTAATTTTTAAATCCTTGGTATTTAATAATATTACAATTTTTTGGGTTTGAATGGGACTTGTTGAATAGGAAAGGGTAGTTGTTGAAAAGTGACTATTAAACTACCCACCTCCATGAGTCCATGTTACGAAGCTAACAATTTGGATAAAAAGTGGGTACGCAAGATTGTAAAAGATTAGACTCGAATATGTGAACATAAATGCACGATGTTTGGCATAAGACGAATGAAAAGGGGTCGATTACCTATTTTCTCTAATCCTAAAATTCAACTAGATCTTATGAGAGGCCGTTCTTCTAAAGTCACTTGACAACTAACTCATGAGGTATGATATCTCTCAAATCATCAATACTTGCTGTGCTTTCTAAAAAAGAAGTTATCTTGATATTGATTTCATTCCTCTACTGACGTAAGTGACATCAATCGTTATAGAGATGAGCTTTCAAAAGTATTTTATTCTCTAATTCAAATCGTGTAAAAAAAAAAAAATTATAAAGTTCGAATTAGACAGAAGCCAAATTACACCCAATTCTTGTTTAATTATATCTGCTTCAATTCAATTCTACATATTACATCTGCCATTGACATGTCAAAATTAATCTTTTTCCTTTCAAAAGTATGCACACGCATGGCTTTGCTATATATTTCACATGATATGAATGATCTTTTTAGTACAAAATTGCAAATTGCTGGATTTAACAAATAGTTGACATGATCCCTGTTTTCTCCTCGTTTGTACTCGTGTTATTGATTCATGAACTTTTAAGAAAATAATATTATCAAATTTTATTTCAATATCGACTTCACATTATTTCTTATGTCATGTAGTCTAAAATTTTGACTTAGTGAACAAGTTGCACATGCGATGCGGGTCCATAATTTTGAAAATTCATAATTTTATTTTTTTGTAACACCATGTTTATTGGAACCACAAAATACGTATTATTTTAAAGAAAATTTCAATGGGCAAAGCAGGCCAAATGATTTATACCTCCACTAGTACAATAACTAAATCGGATAAAATAAGATTAAATATTACTATCTTCGATCTTATTCAATTGAACGTGTTAAATTATTAAATAATAAATAAATATCAATTTATGTGGTCCAATTTTTTGTTTGCTTGTACGCTTCAAAGTAAACATTATTCCTCCTAAAGATAGACTAGTAATATTAATAGCCATACTTAAGCCCTTGTTTGAGTCTATTTTTTCATCAAAATTCATTCTTAACAACGATTTGACCTCAATTCAACCACACATTTTTCAATAAAATAATATTATACACAAATTCAAATCATTTCTTTATTTTTTAACCAAATATTTTTCATCAATATACTATTTAATAATGTATTTTTTAGACAAGAATTGGACTTAAACAAGGGCTTAATATGCAATATTAGTGTAAGAGTAAACTCTATATTTAGTGGGCAAGATTTTGCAATGTTGCAAATATTGAGCTTGATTTTTATTGGAGAAATCAATAATCGATCCAATTATATACTAGTAATGTAAAAATCGTTATAATTGGTGCGAACCAATTGTCCTATTTAAAGATCGAATAATATATTCAAGATATAATGAATTGGACATGAATTTTCAGTTCAATTGATCGAAAAATCAGAAGTGATCAAAACATAATTTAAAAAAAAAAAATCATTGGAATCTTGAAATTGATCAAATTTCAATGTTCAGATCAAAAATAAAATAAAAATTTTAACTCATTGTTTTCTTCGTCCAAAACCACTAATTTACAGTTGCAAACAAGTCATTAATTATTCAATTAATTTCAGTGTTCTAAAAGCTTAAAAGCAAATTTTCACTTTTTTACGAACTTTAGATGAACCCTAGATAAAACTTAAATATAAAAAAATATAAAGCATGATTAGTTGACAATGTCAAGATTTACGTATAGAGAAGCCTAGTCGAACCCTAGACGAGCTTATACAATATTGTTGCAACAAGCTTTTCGATTAAACATCATTTAGTTACTAATCAATCTTTGCCACCATTTTTTACGGATTTTTTTTTACAGTAATTAATAAATAATCCTCTGCAAATTGCTTATTGCGCCCCACGCGCCTCTATCCCTGTTCCTCTCTTCGCTTTATACGTGGCGCTTCCTGTACTCCCTCCCATTTGTCAAGACTCCTTCGCCACGCCCACCCCACTCAGCCCCCTCGATATATGTACGTACATGTGTATCTACACTTCTCTCTACTTATTCCATTGAGCTACGATTTCACTCATAAGCAATTCGATATTCGCTTATGAGATATATAAACATAGATGCATATAAGGAAATTTTCTGGAGCTTGATTTGAGCTGGTAAATTTTGTCACGTGAGGCTCTGATTGATCGAATTTGTGGGTTTAAGGTTTGTGTTTTGAGTTCCCGTTCAAATTTTGATTGATGGTTCTTGTTAAAGTAACATGTACAGGATCCCGTGTGCTTAAATTTTGTTTTAGATTATAAATATTTGATTTTTTTTTCTTATTTAAGTAAACTGATATTTTATAGATTAATTGCGATTTTTCTAATTGGTTAATGATTTGAGTTTTTTTTTTCCCCGCTTCTATAGATCAGAGAGAATTACTCAATTCCAGGCTAATTGATTAATGCTTTTAGTTTTTTGTGGGATTTTATTTAGTTATTAATATTATTTTGGGGTTGGAGTGGCTGAAAACGTACGCTATAACCCCTAGAGTAATTAATATGTGCAGAGACATTTGGTGCAGCCTCAATAATATCTAGGACATGTGTTAGTTTATTCTGAACACTTCACAAGACTTGCATGCCAGCGTTTCAATTTATAATTGTTCTTCATTTTTCAATTTGCAATTGAGAAATTGTGGAGTTTTTTATTTGAATAGAGACACAGCAGAATTCTTGTGTTATTGTAAAGTTAAATTTTACATTTACTGCTGAAGTTTGTAACCATCCTCCTCCAATCTTTGAAAACTCTTTTTTACTATGAGTTAAAGCTGAGATGTACTTTGTGCATACTTTAGCATTTGCAAATGAAAAAAAATGTACTAGTTGAAAATCATTGGCTACTACGGTCTTTTTCCAATCATATGCATCCACTGGCTAGTGCTAACATAAGTTATAGATGTATTTGTTGCAGTTTGTTATGAAAGTCTATTGAAAATTGTAGTTGCCTATGAGGGCATCCAAGTCATGGTGGAGGTGGCTGTTGAAGAAAGGACAATTTCTATTTGACGGGGTATGTTGCTTTTTATTTATTTATTTTTGATATAAAGCTATAACTAAGTGTAAAATCTATAGTTCAAATATGTAGTCTAACCGAAGTATTCTATTTTAACTTGTAAATGGAACTGCAGGGAGTATGTGGAGCAAAGATGAAACAGCTGCCATTGGTGGGATTTCTCTGTACAGTAATGCTGTTCATTATATATAGGACTACAATTTATCAGTTTCAACAGACAGAGGTATGCTACTTTGTAATTTTCTTAGTTAAAAGCACTAGTTGTTCCTAAATGAATGTAAACTAATTTGTTTAGTGCATATCATCATAGATTTTTGGGCCGGCCTGTTTTGAAACACTATAAATGAATTTTTTTTGGTCATGCTCTAGTCTCTGGTAGATAAAATCCTCCCCTTCTAAAATGTCATCAGTTGGAAGCTTTACTTAAATTGCAAATGATAACCTGTTTTTGTATGCTCAAAGCGAGTTTCTTACTTTTGAATGAGCTATAAGGCTAATAAAGAAAAAGAAACTGGTTATAAAGGTGGGACCTTACAATCCTTCTCCATGACAAACACGTAATACTTTTTCTTTTCTTTTTTATCAGTTGGAGTCAAGATTACGTCCATTCTACATATTAAAGGTGATAATCTTAATCCCACGTCTTCTTGCCTTGTTTTATTAATCTTTCTTGTATTAGTTCGTGTTCAGACTTTGAATATTAACACTATAGCTTATTGAATTGAAGATAGCTTAGCTATTGAAAATGTTTTAAGAATTTCTTAGAATGTAAAGCATTGGTTAATATGCATGGGCCATGGCTTGCATCGTCATTCTGAAATTCTTATTATTTATTCATTGTGACATTGAGGAGTTGTTGGTATTCTCATCAGGATTCAGGCATTGCCTCCACAAGTTTAAATAGTTTGCCCCATGGTATCATTGAGGCATGGTCAGACCTGGAGTTAAAGCCTCTATGGAAAACAAGTAGTTCTAAGTCAAAGGTAAAAATGTAATACTGTATGGCAGTGGACTCTACTAATCATTTTATTCTGTATCCCCCTGGATCATGAATTATGTTGATCTTTTAGTTGTGACTGACTGCTAGCAGATCCCAGTACTTGTACTGAAGTCTGCTGAATTGTGACGGTTCTGTATACAATAGCTGAACACTTATATATAGCTGGCTGCCTTTGTTCAATTTTCAGGCTAATGTTCAAAACTCCCATAATTTGCTAGCTCTGCCAGTTGGGATTAAACAAAAGAAGAATGTTGATTCAATTGTTCAAAAGGTACAGCAGTCTATTGACGTATGAAGATGAGAAATTTTGATATGCATTACCATTTTATGGTGCTCATCCATTGCCTAATTCTGTTGAATTCAGTTTCGTTCAGAGAACTTTACGATTATTTTGTTCCATTACGATGGTAATGTGAATGGGTGGTGGAACCTGGAATGGAGTAAAGATGCAATACATATAGTTGCTCACAACCAAACAAAATGGTAAGACTGACAATTTGCGTCTTTAATCAGGCAGAGTTCAATACACACACGCGCACACACACATTTTTTTTTTTAATAATTGGACATGCGGAATCAGTTTGATTGCACTAAAGTATTTTTGTTTCAGGTGGTTTGCAAAACGGTTCTTACATCCGGCTGTTGTGTCTATTTATGATTACATATTCCTGTGGGATGAAGATTTGGGGGTGGAAAAATTCCATCCTGGAAGGTACTGTTGTTGCACCTATGTGACATTCTATCGCTGCTTTTCTTATAATAATTTTATTCCAAGTAATTAGTTATTCTAATACCAAATATTCTTGTAAGCATGCTGATGTCAAGTTGGAAATTTGTGTTTTTGAACTTTGAACTGCTAAGTGTAACATGATTTTTTCCATATTAAGTCGTATGCAAAATATTTGCTTCAAACATGTGGGGACTCCATCTTTTGTGATTGCTCATAAATCTACGAGACGTTTCTTAATTTTAAAAAATTCTCTTTACTCAGGTACTTAAAAATTGTAAGATCAGAAGGACTAGAGATATCTCAGCCAGCTTTAGACCCAAATTCAACTGGCATACATCACAGGATTACAATAAGAAATAGGATAAAAAAGTTTCACAGGTGAGTTGGGTGCAAAATTTATCTAATCTGACCATTGAGTTCTATCTATAGATACTTTAAAATTTAATATTTCCATTATTTTTTGTTTAAGCAGAAGAGTCTATGACACTAGAGGTAGTACGAAATGTTCAGATGATAGTGAGGGGCCACCATGCACAGGGTATGTTACGTTCTTTTATGTCGTTGTGTGTTTTTTCCTTATAAACTTAGGCCCCGTTTGTTTCTCATTCTCTGGCCAAATGAAAAATATAACTATTATCTATCACATCAAGCCACCATATTTGACTTTCTCTCTCTTATATGGTCCCGTAATGGCTATATTTTTCATTCTCATTCTTATAAGAATGGGAATTAAACGGGGGCTTAGTATTTGGCATTTGGTTGCTCAAGTTAGTTATTCTCAAACTTCATTTTCTCTGGAGTTGTATTTCTCACCATATGCTGCTATCCATGTGTTTTTTGCCCATGTTATTTAAGCCTGTCGTTATTGTTTACCCGAGCTTTTAATTACTTTGAGCCATGTTTGGTGCACTGAATAACTTGGAATAGAATCATCCTTTTGGTTCTCCTGTAAAAGATCGTATATAATGTGGTAAGTTGTTGCAGTGATGACATAGGAGCCACTGATGTAGAATGTTAAATCATAATAATTCTATAATTTCATTATGAAAGTAAATTATAACATATAGTTTTGGGATGTTTAATGTGATTTTGTTGTGAAGTGGACATATATATACTTTTAAATGATACATTCTTATCAACTTACGTGGGGAAGAAAATGCAAGAAAATAAGGCTCTACTATGTTTTAGTACTGAACCAAAAGAGAAGCAACAGACAACTAGAATCCTCACGGTCCAGGCAATCCAGCTTGTCAAATGGACCCTCAGAGCAATACGTTTTCCAATTTAAACGAAACATCGACCTTTTCAAATTTGCAGATTTGTGGAAGGAATGGCTCCTGTGTTTTCAAAATCTGCATGGTATTGTGCCTGGCATTTAATACAGGTAACTTTTGGTGCTTTTCTCTGGAAAAAACTCCTATACCTTGACTTCCAATAAAAGATATCACCCGGAAACTCAACTTAGCTGAATCTTTTACGGTTGCCTTTCTAATTTGATAAGTTTTCATCCTTTTTATTTTCATTCCAACTTATCTGACACACAACTATCTCTGTCAGAATGATCTTGTTCATGGATGGGGGGTGGACATGAAACTCGGTTATTGTGCACAGGTAAAAATTACTTCCTCACGAGGGTATTTTATATAAAGTTATTTAAATATTTTACTCTAACAAATTGGTTGGCATGAGCAAGCAGTTCTCCAATTAAGTATTTTCATTATATATTAACATTAGATAATAATCCGATGGCAATCTGACTAAGGTGTACACTGAGTTCGACATGATGTAATTTAGTTCTTGTGTTTTTGATAAACTTGGATCTTTCGTAGGGGGACCGCACAAAGAAGGTGGGAGTAGTAGACAGTGAATACATTGTTCATAAGAGTATACAAACTTTGGGCGGGGCTTCTGCGAAAAAGGTGATTTCTTTTTTCCCTTCATGTATGATCTGACTTGTCTGTAGTCCACTACCAATCAACATTTTTTTTATTGCCTGACTAAATTTAGGTTTACTACTCCTAGTCCGACTTCTAATTTATGTACCATGATTTTTTTCTTCTATTGTACACACTGATTTATCTAATGGATTGTTCCCATTTCTGATCTTTGCCTAACTTTGTGATATTTGATATTTGTGCAGGCTCCACGTCGTGAGGAGACCATGAAGGTACAGCTCCTGCTGTTTCTTTTTTTTTTTTTTTCATAATTAAGTACTTTTACCAGTTAAAAATGTGCAGCTACTGAAACTATTTCCTGTCCTTGTCTATTTCCTTTTGATTTACAGAGGACTGCCGTTGACGTACGATCTGAGGTGAGAAACTGCTTCTTCCATGCTCTGTTGATTTTTACTTTTTCTATGTTTCTTTTGACACACAGAAACTCGTGATAACACATCGTATGATTGGATTTGTCTTGAGTTTCACATGAATGCACGAGCACAAGATTCATCTGTTACTTGATTTGTGGAGAAATTTATAGCATGTCTTATGTGCTTACTTTCAATTCTGTTATCGACACTTTAGGCCGAAATGTGAATAATAAGAATAATTCCATCGTCCCCTCGCCTTGTAATTTATTTACACGAATCATATGAAATTTACATGTGCAGTTTCTCACACACCAGTTTATAAGTACAGAAATTTTTGCAAATTGAATTCTTGCTCTTTTATGGAGATCACTTTCGAGACTGGCATAAGCAACATGACTTGTGAAGGATATTAAGACTTGGCATTCGATCTTAAAAGGTCAATCTTTTAAGAAGACTAAATCAAGCTTTCATCGTTATTCGATCTGGATTTACCTTAGCATACTTTAGCAAGATGGTGGCTCATTTTCAACATACCATTTTTGGAATCCTTGTGCTCGTTTTTATTTTAGTCGAATTGAGTTGCTTGTTGGAGTTTAATACGTTTTGATGCCATATAATATTTGGTTTCATTTTAAAAGGTCAAAAAGTAGACTGAGCCCTTATATGTATGTGGGATTTGAGTGTCTTACATTTCTACTTGAATTTGACTATGCAGATTAGAAGGCAATCAACTTCAGAACTTCAAATATTCAAGGAGCGGTGGGAACAAGCTGTAAAGGAGGACAAGAACTGGAGGGATCCATTTCCATCCAGTCGAAGAAGAAAGCAGAGGCTTAGCCAAACACAGCATTCAAAGGTTTAACTTGACTGTAGATGGCTGGTTGGTTCTTTGTAATTTGCAGTGTCTCATAATTATATCATTTTACACAAATGGTTATTATTTTTCCTTTCAGTTAGCATATTTTTAACTGGGATATACGTAGTTTAGTTTTTATGTCTCGATTAAATTTTTCTTTTTTTACTTTTTTGACACAGAATTTAATATTAATTTTCTGGATCGAGTGAATATTAGTGTAACAGCTAAAAACCTAAGTGGCTATTAGCGTCAGAAATCAACTCAGTAATCATTGGCATAATTACTCGAAAAGTTTAATGCCTATTGACGTAATTAACTCACAAAAATTATGAAAATCACGATAGCATAATTAGGTGATGACGGCAAACTTCGGGTTTAGGTGCGGTATGTGATTGACAACCCTTTCGGCCCTGCGGACAGCCTCCCCGCCTCATGGGCTGACAAGCAAAATTATGGTAAACGGATATACGTAGTACGAAGCTTGTTATTATACTTGTATATGATAACATAATTAGTGAAGTCTTGTAATTTTGCTATAAATTAGGGATAAATTTATTTGTATGATCATTTTGTACAACATTATTGACAATGTTGTAGTTTTCGAAAAATCGTTGGTGGAAAAGATGAATTATTTTTTAAACTGTTTAATGACAATTTACTCTGTGACGTTAATAATATTGTCAAAATTATTGTACACCGAGTATAATTCATAAATTAGCTATTAGCAATTTTGTCACGTCGCATGGGTACGGAAGTTGGTTATGTTTGTATGTTTGTTAGCTCGTGAGTTGGAGAGGTTGCCCTACAGGATCTTTTGGTGTAATTGGCGGTCCGTCACCATTTTTAGAACATAGTATGTAATGACGATAGTTTCTTAGAAATGCTTGTGTGGGGTCCATAACGACTATATTTTTCATTCTCATTTTTACAATAATGTGGTTCAAACGGGGGCTATATATGCACTGAAAATACTCCTAATGATTTCAAAATCAAGAAATTGACCTTAATTTGACTGATTTTAGAACTGATATTTCTGATATAAATTGTCCTTAATGTTACAAGGCCATTTTGACCTTTAAAATTTGTCAAGTTATGGTTAAACACTTGACTTTTGATCAACTAATGAATTTTTGGATCAAAATCGTATAAAGAACTTTCTACAGCACAGTTTTAAAAAGCCTGAGAATTATTTGTTATGATTTAAAGGTTTGGGTCCTTTTGTGTAAATTTCCCTTTATAGTATTGGTAGGGACAAAGCATCACTGAATTATTGCATCTTTTGACCGTCAAGAATGGGTCCCATTATCAATTAACCACGACACCTTTTTTAAATCACTTGGGAATTATCATATTTATCACCAAACACGGAGGGGCAATTTTGTAAAGAACTCTCCCTATATATAGCCAATTACACTCACAAGCTCTTCATTCACTTCTTACCAAATTCCATCCATCTTCAAATACACAAAAGCGGAAATTCAAATTTCTATCAATGGAGAAGAGAATTAAGATCAACGGCGGAGATTTGTCGAATAAATACACGAGGAGGCTTATTCCAAGGAGGGGTCAAGTGAAGGCTGGGATTATGTTGTGTTTGGCTCATTCACTAGCTGTCATTTTCTCTGTTAGAAGAAACCCTCCTTCCACCTCTCACTTTTGAGCATCTTTTCGTGAGCATGGTTGGATTCAGTACGACTCCAAATAGACCTTAATTTAGACAAAACAAGCTAGTCGAGTCAACATCTAATTTTTGCCAATTTTGGTTGTATGCTTTGACGCCTTTGATAATTTCCCAGTGAGAATCGTTTTAAGGTTTGAAATGAGATATTACTCTTCGTTTTTGGACCAAATTCAATTTTCTATTTTTCAAATTGATAATAATGTGCTCGGATATTCAAATTTTGATGCACACTTAGAAGTGTCAAAATGCATCGATTTGAACAACTTGAGCTAGACAAGCATGACTCGATAAATGTGTTCTCTAGGGTCAGCCATACCACGTAATGGTAAACTTTGGGTTATGTGAATGTATTTTGAGTAATTGATTAATGTCGAATTAAATAAAAACAAATCAAAAATTAATGAGAAAAAAAGTAGCTAATCAAATTGCCAAGTGCCCAATTTTGGTTGTATGCTTTGACACCTTTGATAATTTCCCAGTGAGAATCGTTTTAAGGTTTGAAATGAGATATTTCTCTTCGTTTTTGGACCAAATTCAATTTTCTATTTTTCAAATTGATAATAATGTGCTCGGATATTCAAATTTTGATGCACACTTAGAAGTGTCAAAATGCATCGATTTGAACAACTTGAGCTAGACAAGCATGACTCGATAAATGTGTTCTCTAGGGTCAGCCATACCACGTAATGGTAAACTTTGGGTTATGTGAATGTATTTTGAGTAATTGATTAATGTCGAATTAAATAAAAACAAATCAAAAATTAATGAGAAAAAAAGTAGCTAATCAAATTGCCAAGTGCCAACCATTCACGTGCATGATACGCAATTCTTGTGTAAATGTGCTGCAAGCGTGCACCAAATGTCACGTGATTCTCTGAATCTGTACGTTTTCCCAGAAATATAAATACCTAACAATTAAGAATTTGCATTATTATTATTTTTTTTCCTATTTTGTTTTCAAGAATTAGAAAAAAAATAAAAAAATAAAAAAATAATAGTTGAATATCACAAAATTCATTCGCAATTGCATATTCTCTAAATAAATAATTTCACCTCAAAATGCATCGATTTGAACAACTTGAGCTAGACAAGCATGACTCGATAAATGTGTTCTCTAGGGTCAGCCATACCACGTAATTGTAAACTTTGGGTTATGTGAATGTATTTTGAGTAATTGATTAATGTCGAATTAAATAAAAACAAATCAAAAATTAATGAGAAAAAAAGTAGCTAATCAAATTGCCAAGTGTCAACCATTCACGTGCATGATACGCAATTCTTGTGTAAATGTGCTGCAAGCGTGCACCAAATGTCACGTGATTCTCTGAATCTGTACGTTTTCCCAGAAATATAAATACCTAACAATTAAGAATTTGCATTATTATTATTTTTTTTCCTATTTTGTTTTCAAGAATTAGAAAAAAAATAAAAAAAATAAAAAAATAATAGTTGAAAGAGACTGAGCCATTTTGAACCTCAATATCACAAAATTCATTCGCAATTGCATATTCTCTAAATAAATAATTTCACATGTCAAAAATATGCTGAAATTTCATCTATCAAAGTTAAGTTAGGCGTATAACTCTGATTGAAACCCCAATTAAGTGCTCGACTCGATTTACTGAGTTCATAAATATAAATTAGGGTACGATGTAATATGCTCGTTTCGTGTTTACTCGAAAGGTTGAGCTCGATTGGAGTGCCAGTTTTAGTTTGCAAGAAGTATAATAGGAAAAATATTAACCTGACTTGACATTGGTTGTGTTTGTGAGATGTTCTTGATTCAACGGAAATATTTTATCGAACCCATCATACTTTATCCATTAAGGACTTGTTTGATTCTCATTGAATTGGAAAAAATGCATTTTGAAATAATTGATTGATGGAAAATGTATGGTTCAACATAAGGAAAAATTTTAGATTTATATGTAATATTATTTCATTAAAGAATATGTAATTGAAAAGAATAGAGAAAAACATATTTTGAAAGTATCAAACACTAATTAATAAATAGGATAAGATAGGTAATGGACAAATGTTTAATCACGATACGTTAATTTATTTTGTCCAAGGGCAATTATTAATAACGGTCAAGGTCGGAGTTCGGAAGAATTCACGATAAATTGACCAGACAGTCAATTTAGTAAACCGTCCAAGTAGTGTGAAAGCAACTTTTTTTTTTTTTTTTTTTTTTTTTTTTTTTTTTTTTTTTTTTTTTTTTTTTTTTTTTTTGGTTTTTTTTTTTTTTTTTATTTTTTTTTTTTTTTTTTTTTCTCTTTCTTTTTCTTTTTTTTTATTTTTTTTATTTTTTTGGGTTTCATTTCCTATTTGAATTGGAAAAAGGTCGTCTGAACACGGACAGGATCAAGATCCGGTCGTGCAATTGGTAAAAAAAATGTATAAATAATTTATAAATAGAATAATGTTGGTGTGTAGGATATATTCACATAAGATAGATTTCATGTGAGTAAAAGATTATAAAAAATTAAAAGCCACCCACCCCTATATTGTGTATTTTGAAGGGGTTATGTGAAATTCTCCCTATACACCAAGCAAATCTCTTTATAAATTTAGTTGAAATCAAATATTTTAATTTCAACCAAATATTCAGAGTTACTTGTTATTATCCAACCTATTTCGTAAAATCTACTATTGTTCCTAGTTTTAAATTATTTAAAATTCGCCTAATGAATAGTTTCATGCACGGTTTTTGATGTGAACTCACGTGGCAATAGCAGTTCCGAAATTCACAAAAGATTAAATCATAACCTCAAGAAAGCTAAAATCCTGATTTCAAGCTCAACCCAATTATTTATTGAACCAAAAACCAACAAAATCTCCAACAAAATGTTGACCCCGTGATCGCGAACACTATGAACCTTGCTATGAATTTGTTGAGCGCCACAAATATTGAAAATATTTGATAAATTATGTTCAATTAAGAATAAGATAGAAAGTGAAATTTTCACATTATGATTAATTCTAAAAAATAATGTCTTTATTGTACAATGAATAAGTCTTTTATAGGCATAAAATAAACTCATAATCAAAACAAAACTCTAATTCTAAAGACAAATTCAACTAAATTAGAAAACTACCTAACATATTTGAATAAAACTAAGGGTGCGTTTAGTTTGCATTTTTTTTAATTCATTTTCTATTTTCTGTTTTGAGAAATTATTTGAAGGTTGCAGAAAAGGTGTTTGGATTGTTATTTTGAAGAACTGTTTCTCAAAACAAAAAAATTAGAAAATACGTTTGATTTAAAACCTTTAGAAATAATTTTATGACATTTTGAAGAAGTATGGGAGAAAAGAGATAAGAGAGAGGGAAAGGGGTATTTATATTTGTGTAAGTTTTGTGCGATTTTATTAATTATTTTAATTTGAAAAAATTTTAAGCTCATTTTCTTTGTTTTGAGTTATGTGTTATAAAATCTTCCTTGTTTTCAAAGTCGTATTTAGAAAATGGTATATCAAACACGTTTTGAGTGTTTTTCGAAAACTAAAAATTGAAAACGGTCTCAAAATAACAAACCAAATGCACTCTAAGATACTAAAAATAACGAAAATACCATTAAACTAATTCAAAACATAAATATGCAAAATTGAACTCCTAAAAAATCGGATTTGACCCCCAAAGTTCGACATAATCATCCGACAAACTTGTGCAAAATCGAAAGACATTTTTGGATTGTACTTATGGGCAAAAATCCAACAATCGAGCAGAAAGTTATACACATTTTTGTACATCCTTTATGTTTTTTACATACTTTATATTCATCCCATTTTTTAATTGGTTTACGATATTCTCTTCTAATTGATCCGTATTAATCCGGAACATGCAATGGATCCTTGTTAGCTTTCCCTCCATGATTCTCATCAACTTTGATCCAAAGAAAATATCTCTGCTCATTTTTTCAATTTTCTTTAATTCGTACTAGAGAGTGCATTTAATATATATATTCAAAGGAAGAATCTTGGAAGATGGAAAGTTCATTTTACCCCGTGTTCATTTCCTCTAACCCGGCACATTTCCCTCGGATTCTTCATTTTCTCAAATGAAGGTTTGTCAGGAGAAAAAGGAAAAAGCTGTAAGGCTGTACAAACTTACAGCCTCCTCAAATCCCTCATGTGAGGGGATTGCGTGATTTGCTGTACACAAGAGTGTACAGCAAGCACAGCTTGGAGAAAAATACTAGATAGTGTACATCTAGCATGACATCTTCCCTATGTGGAGAGAATTCGTGTATTGATGGATAAATTAAGCAGAAATTTAGTAGTGTAGATTATGGCACGTGAAAGAGTGTATCTCATGATAAAATCCAAAATCAACTTATAGCAGCTTTGTTGTTAGGCGTTATTCCGTCAAACACAAGAAAATTATTTGATTAAACGAGAGTCAAGAAGTCAAAATTCCCATAATTGCACTGTCAACCAGCTATAATCATTCATTAACGGTCTCAAACATTGGCAACAAAAACCCATTTTCGGAAAAAAGAAAAAGAAAAGAGTGATATCTACTTCAAACTTTCAAACAAGTGACATTAAACAGCAACAATAATTTAGGAGGCTTGTCCTCCGAGGCACAGCTTAACTGGTGGATTAATCAACATTGTCTTGCTTTTAGCGGCAGGGTGAAGAATTCGATTCCTGGTGGGAACCTGCGGTCAAATATTTGGTATGGAGCAATCACTATGGAGGAGGGTTTATTGTGCGCAGAAGTGTACAGGCAATGGAGGGAACCTGTGATCCAGTTGAAGCATAACCCGCGATTTACCCCCTCCAAGGTTTTAGGGGCAAGGGTTTTGAGGGTCCAGGATATAGTTTGGTGTAAACTGGGTTACTTGAATATTAAAATATATATATATATATATATATATATATATAATTTAGGAGGCTTTCCTCATGCGTAGAACCTTGTAAAATACTTGTCCTAATTCAATGTACTCTCAACATCAAAGATCTTAAAGCACAAAATAAGATTTGGACAGGTAGCCACCATGGTCCATGTCAATTTTATTTTATATATGTAAATGGAACCAATTATCCCATGTGATTTTTATGCAAAACGCAATAATTCATGATAATTTATTTCTGCTTTTGCTTCCACCAACATATACCTCTTTTCCTGGTGCCACTTTGAAAAGGACCAAAAAATAAAATAAAAAAATGTAACGTAATTTTTCCGAGATCCAGGGGCATTTTGGAACCTTTTGGTCTATATATATATTTTGACACGCGCAACATTTATCTCCACAACACAAGATTTAAGCATTAGCACTAAATCTGTTGAGCAAGATCTTTCCATATAGAGTAGCAGAAATGGCAGGAGGAAGAAGAGAAATGATCAACGGAGGAAATTTGCTTAGGAAAATCGAGTATGGCCGTCAGATTCCAAAGAGGGGACAAGTGAAGGTGGCGATTGTTTCTGGATTGGCTCACTCTTTATCTTCTATATTTTCTTTTGGCGGCCGTCAACAATCTTGCCAAACGACGCAGTTTTCTTGATTGTTTGTGAGAGAGTGCAGCTTTGGTTGAGGGTGGAGATTTTGATGTTTCACTTTCAATAATTCCAGATTGTAGAGCTTTTTATGCATCAAGTTATGAATTTACATTCATTCCAGTTTCTTGCTTTCTTTAAACAACATTACTTCGTGTCACTTTTCTCGACTCTATTTGGATCATTTTCAAACTAGAGATAAACGTACGAACTATTCTATGTTATATCCTATGACTGATGTATCATACGATGCGGTAATGAACTTTATAATGGAAAAATTAAGGATGTTCAAAATTTTCCATGCCTGGCTATGCAGAGTACCTGGTGCATCTTCAGAAATTAGATTGGATTGGGATGGTGGTATGGAGTAGAAAGCAGAAGAATCCGGCTTCTCTAAGATCGGAAGCTTAGATGGTCTCTTCACAGGAACTGGATCGACTTATGGAACTCAAACTCAACTGACGGATATGAACAAATCTTGTAACTACAGCGAGATATACAAACACGAAAGCATTCCTGTATACAGAAAAGGATTATAATCAGTAAAATAACTGATTTCTGCAGAATCTAATTTTAATATAAAGGGGAAATTAATGATCTATCACTATATTCTTTCCCAGTGATATTGGATAGCATCGATAGCCTCCTACGATGACGAGCAAAGTGAGGCGTTACACGCCTGCGTTGGGCCATCGACCCCCATGAACGCTCTACGTCTTCCCAAGACTGTCGACTCTCATGAGATTTCCTACTTTGCCAATCCAACACTTCACTATAAAATCATCTATGAATTGATGAGATGCACGTAATGGCTGGCACGGATACAACCAACCAACGGGTAGCTGAAGACTCCCCACTCAAAATGTGGGGTAGTGAAAGAGGCTACGTGAGACACGTGACACCGTAACCTTTCAACCGTTGCACTGCTCCACTCCCTTATAAATACCCTCAACGCGAAACAGGTATGGGCATAGAGAAACTTTGGCTATTGAGCTATTCGAATTTCATCTTTGTTTTTCCTAACACCGTATGCTGATTCTCACGTCGGAGATAAAACGGGATAGAAAGCGCCGCTCTCATTTTTCAGATAACACTCGTTTATCGGAGTAGCAGGAATGCCTTGCGCCATCAGGTGGATATAGAGGTATTGTTTCATGACTAGTTCACCCAGTATACATCGATCTTGCAACAAATTGGGGGTTAACTGAGTCCTACAATAAGTAATTCTCAAACTTGATTGTTATTTAACTAAGCCTTCGGTTTTGTTCGTAGGAGGACAAGCCAAAATCAGTTCCCCTTTCTTAAAAAATTTTCCCCAAACTTGGGTCGGCTGTAGCCCAATTTTCCAAAATTAAGTACATCCATTTTTGGCTAATGACTAATTTATTGACAGTCATTTTGTTCCTGGTGATGCAAACAAGTCATATGACAAATGAGATCTGAGCAAGACAGTACATAGGGCTACTGATCTAGTGGAAACAGAGCAAAAATCAAACCTTTGAATAGTTAGGAATTAGACGCTACTAATTCTGCCAAATCAATAGGAAGAAAAATAATTCTCAATATTTCACTCTCCTTCCTTTTCTCTCCACTTGTGTACTTCTTATCTTCGCTCTGCATAACTTTTCATTTACACATCCAATTTATAAAGAATTTTCAGAAGACATAATATTGCAGTCCTCAATTGCGTCTGAATATGAGAAAAAACCCGTGCATGATAACCTTTGCATTAAATGCAAAGGAAAAACCTTTTGCCAACTTTGAAAATGTGAAGCGCAATCGAATAAAGGGAATAAATATACCAAACGGAGGACCAAAAGACATTTGTCAGATTATAACACTCAAGTATTACCAAAAGTAAGCTCGCTTCCAAATTTAGGACTTTATAGATTTTTACAAGAAAATGTGCACGCAACACGTTTTAGTAGATATTAGTCTATAAACAAAAAAGATCAATGTGGGAAATTTACATTTGCAATATTCTTCCCATGAATCTCCATTATAGTTGCTCCCCTTTTTGCAAAATACTCTCCCTGCATGAACCCAGGGAATGTTTAAATAGATATGACCACTTCGCAACAAATGAAGTCCAACTAATAAGAAAAATGCAAAAAGCAACAATAGGCCTAAATTAAAACAGCTTGACTTTGGAATGTATATATAGCAATGATGCACTCAAAAGTCTTGGCTCATGTCCCATAGGTTATAATATCTGAACTTCTGTATTCAGAAAAACATAATTTTCCTCTTTTTCATTTATTTTTCAACATACTCAAACCCAATGAGACTTTCTTCATTAATGTACTTTTTCACTTACAGATTTCATCTCGAATATACTAATTGTAAACCACAACATGATTTTGGTCAACAATCGTAGGTTGTGAGGGGAGGGTATGCTCGAGCACGAGAATCGCAATATGTAAAGCAGCAAGACAGTGAGTGCTCAAGAATAACTCCCGGGTTGAGCATATGCTCGAGCACTCCATATGTGGAATTGTAAGTTTATCCAAGATTTGTGGTCGGGCTAAAATGATCGAGCATTCATGTATTGATATCATAAAAGGGTTGCGCAATCCTCGGGATAATATGGTGGTCAGGCTATCCCGGAATGTCAGTATCTGCACATATGTTCGAAGCCTTCGCTCGAGGATATGATGCAAAGACGCTTGAAACAAAAAGCTCGGGTGTGTGAGCTCGAGGAAGTTTTTGAAGACAGGTGTTCAGAAGGGCTGACGTGTACTGAGGTAAGCCCTAAATAAGAAAAGGCGGTAAAAATGGTATGGGTTGGATGTACGACACGTAACCAGATCTGACGGTCGGGGTAGTGACTTTTGGACTACCCGCTCCTGTTGCCTATAAATACCCTCTCCACATTTCATTTTTCACTTTTTACTCTCAGTAAACTTCTCTTGCTAATCGTCGGGATCAGAACTTTGAGTTTTTAGGCGTCGACTTTAAGGTAAGACCTCGAGTTCTTAAGTTATTCTTTAGGCACTTTTTTACCTAGGTCAGGATGTCTACTAGTAGTAGTAGTGAGTCTTCGTCCTCCTCCTCGAGGAGTACTCTCGAGGACAAAGGATGCTCGATCATACCTATGGCCGTGCCTATTAATACCCAACCTCGAGCACAAAGTATCCCTACCCCATTTAAGTACCTAGAGGTTCCTTGTAAGTTTAAAGAGCATCTAACAATATCAACGACTAGGGAGCACGGGCTCATGCCGAAGTGTGATATTAGGACGCCAGGGGGAGAGGATAGGATGGCCTTTGCTCGGAATGGAGAGTTGTAATTTTTAGGGACTCACTAAAGGGTGGATTTAGATGGCCCCTGCACCCCTTCTTTGTGGCTTTATTGGTCGAGCACAACATGAGCCCTGGACAGCTCGTGCCAAATGGGTGGAGGATGCTCACCTATTTTTTTTATAGCCTGTAGATACCTAGGAATTAGCCCATACATCGATCTTTGTAGATTGGTCTTCGACTTGAAACAGCTACCTCAATATACTTGTTTTGCCTACCTTTCATCTCGAGGAGGTTTTAGAGTACTGAGGATGCCCAGTTCCTTAAAAGGGTGGAAAGAGAAGTGGTTTTATGTCATAATTCAGGATAGTGACTTTCCTTTTAGTCCTAGGTGGGTTTTGCCCGACACTACCAGGTTTTGTGAAGGCCAGGCCTATTTTGAGTATTTAGAAAGGCATAGGGAAATGTTAGAGAACCTTGAGCCTCTTGCCTATGATATAGATGACATCCTCAGGGATGACGTTCTTGATCTTGCCGATGTGAAAGGCACTGAGGGTAGGGATCATCCTTTTTGCCCTCTTCCTTATCGATCTGTCTTTGAATGTATAATTGTGCTCATGTTAATGACTTGTTTTTGTATAGATGACTTTCGATCCTTCAGCCCTTAGACAGGCTGTGAATAAAAAGTCCAAGGCCCCTCAGACTCGAGCTCCAGGTCAAAAAAGAGGGAAGAAGAGAGCTCGTGATTCAGGCCTCGAGAATATTAGGAGTGTGCCAGGGGAACCTTTTGCCCAAGGACAATCACCGATCATTCAGGATCATGAAACTCCTATTGCCCCTCCTCGGTCAAGGAGTACCCCCGAAGTTGTTGACCTTGAGTATGAGGTCCCTCCTGTGCCTTCATTCCAAAATCGAGATCCTGATTGGTGTCCTCTGGTGTCGAGCATCGTGGACATATATCGAAAGGACCTTGGCTTTGATAAGGGCATGAAAGCTCTTGAATCCCTTACGCTGAAGGTAAGCTTGCTCAACTTACTTGGTGTAATTTATGGGTTTATATGATGTGATCGTTTAAGTTTGGGTTTTATATATTGCAGACTCTGAGTATTGCTCGAGGCCTCTCTCTGAAAGGGAAAGATGAGGCACAGAAAATTGCTGAGCTCAAGGATACTTCTCGAGCATATGAGAAGAGGATTGCTGACATGGAGGCTGAGACTCATTCTCCAGGGGGAGCGCGATGACGCGAAGAACGACCTTCAGAGAGCTCGGGAAGAGGCTAGAGTGGCCAAGGATTTAAAGCTTGAAATCGAGCGTTTGAAGAAGAATTTTGAAACTCACCTGACTGAAGCTCGAGGCATTGCGATCGAAGATTTCAAAAAGTTCGAGGAGTTCAGCGGGCTGAAGGGGGAGTACGCCATGGGCTCGTACTTCCACGCTTTGAAAGAGGCTCGAGCATTTTTACAGTCGAAGCCTGACGCAAAGCCCGAGGATTTAAAGAGCATCCCTGAGGTTACTGAAGATCTCAAGCTTTTAGAGTCCGAGGATACCGTCGAGGACCAGGAGGTCGACATTGAAGGCGAGGACGTGGCGGAAAAGCAAGGAAGCACAGCCTCGGGAGAAAGAGCCGAGGACCTAGATTAGTTTCTGTTTTCCTTTTTGGATACTTTTGGCAAGTACTTGATTAATCAGTTGTTGAAATTAATGTATTCTTCCCGAGCTTATCTTGCGTTTCTTGCTATGTTACTCTGATTATGTTTGCTCGAGCTTTAAGTTCATTTGAGAATCTATAACTCGACGCCTAGACAAGTTAAATAACTCGACGCCTAGACAAATTAAATAACTCGACGCCTAAGATGCATTAATATCTCGATGCCTAAATGAAGTTCTAGCCTTGACGTACTTATTCACCGACAACAAAGATTTATTTTTATCATGCTCGACAAATAATACTCTTGAGGACTGAATTTTATAAAATCATTTTTAAAATTATGTGTTGAGCTCGAGCATGTAGACAAATTATCTCGATGACTCAATTTGTAAAATCATTTTTGAACATTATGCGTTGAGCTCGAGCATGTAGACAAGTTATCTCGAGGACTTAATTTGTGAAATCATATTTACAAATTATCTCGAGGAATCAATTTGTAAAATCATTTTTGAACATTATGCGTTGAGCTCAAGCATGTAGACAAGTTATCTTGAGGACTTAATTTGTAAAATCATTTTTGAACATTATACTTTGAGCTCGAGCATGTACACAAGTTATCTCGAGGACTCAATGACATTGTAATTGTATCGACCTATAGCTGGTTCCCAAGGACAGTAATGGCCTTTTAATAAGATCTCTCACATCGTTGATTGGGCACTGTGTGCTCGGGAATGTTACTTGTAAGTGTGTGCATGGCTTAGCTTGATTGCTTGCTTGGGGCAAGGCTCATTGATTGCTTGCGCAGGGCAAGGCTTTGATTGCTTGCGCGGGGTAAGGCTTTTAGTTGCTTGCGTGGGGCAAGGCTTTTTGATTGCTTGCGCGGGAGAAGGCTTGAGTTGCTTGTGCGGGGCAAAGCTTTTTGATTGTTTGCGCGGAGCAAGGCTTGAGTTCCTTGCTTGGGGCATGACCTGCTGCTTCGGTCCTTCTTAACACAAGGTCTCCGGCTCTGAATCTCCACGTCCTCACTTTTTTATTGAAGTACTTTGCTATTTTATCTTGGTAGGAGGCCATTCTTAAAGCTGCCTGATCACGAACTTTTTCTAAGACGTCGAGGTGTTCAGTGGTACGCTCTGCATCATCGGGCTCAAGCCTTCTTTTGCTGGGCCACCTGACTTCAATATGGATGGTGGCCTCAATACCAAAAGCCAACATGAAGGAGGTTTTCCTCCTAGCAGTTCTGTAGGACGTTCTATACGTCCAAAGTATGGAAAGTAACTCGTCAGACCAGGAACCTCTTGCATCCCCGATCCTTGTACGGAGGTCTTGTAATATAATCTGATTGGTCATTTCGACGATACCATTACTTTGAGGATGGGAAACTGACGTTAAACAGTGATCAACCTCTTGATTGGAACAAAAGTTTTTAAATTGGGCATTGTCAAACTGCCTGCTATTATCAGTTATGAGGACTTTTGGTATCCCGAACCTGCATATGATGGATCTCCAAATGAAACTTCTCAACTTAGGCTCTGAAATTGTTGCTAAAGCCTCGGCCTCTACCCACTTAGTGAAATACTCTACAGCCACAGCCACAAACTTCAATTTTCCCTTAGTTATTGGAAAGGGACCAAGGATGTCAATTCCCCACTGCTCAAACGCGGCTGTGCAACTAATGTTAGCGAGGTCCTCTGCGGGATGGTGGATGATATCGCTAAATCTTTGGCACTTGTCGTACTTCTTGACATATTCTTGGACGTCTTTCTTCATGGTTGGCCAATAATATCCATATCTTATGAGCTTGAAGGCTAATGCCCGAGCTCCTTGATGGTTCCCACATATTCCTTCATGAACTTCTTCTAGGGCCTGGGATGATTCGGAAGGCCTAAGGCATCTGAGGTATGGAAGTGTGAGGCTCCTGCGAAATAAAACTCCTTCAATCATGCAATACCTCGAAGCTTTGGACCGGATGCTTCTTGTTGCCCGAGGATCTTGTGGAAGATTGCCATATTTTATGAAGTCCACTATTGGATCCATCCATGATGGCTCATTATCAATATCCATGATGCCTATGGTTTGATTGATGCTTGGCTCGGTTACAATTCTAACGTGGACTGTCCCGTTAAGGCCATCTATTCCCATGAACATCAATCTTGACAAGGCATCAACCTTACAATTCTCAGCCGGAGTGATTTTCACAATTCCACAGCTCTTGAACTTTCTCTGGAGATCATGCACTTTCAAGCAGTATAAGCTCATCTTCTCGTCCTTCCTATCGAATGTCCCTTCGATTTGTCCAACCACCAACTGGGAATCACTGTAAATTTTGATATTTTCAAGCTCGAGATTTATGGCGAGTTCCATGGCTATGATGACGGCCTCATACTTTGCTTCATTATTGGTCGCCTCAAATTCGAACCTAAGTGCGCACTGAATGTTTATGAGCATGTCCATACTTATGATTATGACTCCTGTACTCGAGCCCGAGGAGTTTGATGCTCCTTCGATGAAAATTTTCCACACACCTGTGGTCAAGCTCGAGCTAACATCTGGCCCCCGAGGTCTCGGGGTGAGTTTTGCAATGAAGTCAGCTAAGGCCTGAGCTTTGATAGATGGGCAGGGCTTGAACTCTATGTCAAATTCTCCGAGTTCAATTGCCCACTTCAATAATCTTCTTGAGATGTCTGGTTTCTGAAGAATGTGTTTTAGAGGCTGATTGGTGAGCACTACAATAGAATGTGACTGAAAATATTGCCGAAGTTTTCGTTCTGCCACTATTAGTGCAAGGGCAAGCTATTTTGCCAAAGTGTATCTTGTTTCTACATCAAGTAGGACTTTACTTACGTAATAAATGGGTTGTTGGGCCCTGTTAACCTCTTTCACCAAGACACCACTCACTGCATTCTGAGATACGAATAAGTATAAATATAGAGTATCTGGGGGCTCGGGTTTGGTGAGGATAGGAGGAGATTCCAATGTCTACTTGAGCTCCTAAAAAGCCTTCTCACACTCCTCATTCCATTCAAAGCAATAATTACCCCCGAGGGCTTTGAAGAAGGGGAAGCACCTGTTTGCTGCTCGGGCCATGAACTTGTTTAAGGCAACTACCCAGCCTGTCAACTTTTGAACTTCTTTCTTGGTCCTTGGTGATTCCATTGCTTCCAAAGCCTGAATCTTGTCAGGGTTGGCCTCAATCCCCCAATGAGTGATCATGAAACCCAGAAACTTTCCTGAAACTACGCCGAATACACACTTCTCCGGGTTGAGCTTCATCTTACATGTTCGTAGGGTAACGAACACCTCTTCTAGGTCGGATATGTGCTCCTCCACCTTCTTACTCTTTACAACCATGTCATCCACATAGGTCTCGATGTTCTTCCCTATCAAATCGGCGAGGACTTTGTTTATGAGCCTCTGATATGTCGCCTCAGCGTTTTTCAACCCAAATGACATCACCCTATAGCAATATATGGCTGAATCAGCCATGAATGAAGTCTTCTCTTGGTCTTCTTTAGCCATGAGGATTTGATGATACCCTGAGAATGCATCTAAGAAGCTGTAGAGCTTATGTCCGGATGTGCTATCCACAAGATTATCGATCATTGGCAGCGGGTAGCTGTCCTTTGGGCACGCCTTATTAAGATCTATGAAGTCAATGCAAACCCTTCATTTACCACTGACCTTTTTCACTCTAACAACATTAGTGAGCCAATCGGGGTATTGGACTTCCCTTATGAACCCCGCTCCCCAATAATTTGCCGACTTCTTCTTGAATGACCACACGTCTTTTCGGTGCAAACTGTCTTTTCCTTTGCTTAACAGGTTTGGCTCTTGGGCTGATATTGAGTTTATGGACAGCTACTTCTGGGTCTATCCCTGGCATATCCTTCACCTTCCATGCAAAAACATCAATGTTGCGGGACAGCCAATTGATGATTTCCTCCCAGAGGTTGGCCTTGAGATCCCGACCAATAGTAACGGCTTTCCCGTGCTCGAGCTCGACCACTTCCAACTCCTCAACGGGGACCAATCTTCCCCTTGGCTCGAGCTCAAGCTCGAGGTTCGTAAGTTGCATGACGTCAACACTCATTCCTCGAATGCTAGTAACTTAGCACTATCTAGCAGCTGTTTGATCTCCTCGAACTACTCCAATGCCATGACCTGTGGGGAACTTCATGGCCAGGTGGAAAGTTAACACAATAGCCCGTATCTTGTTCAGTAGGGGTCTTCCCAGAATGATGTTGTAGGCCATTGGGGTATTAACCACTTGGAATGGTATGATCTCCGTCACTTGTGTATTACCAGTTCCTAATGTAAGCGGGAGTTCGACGATACCTTCAAGGATAATGACTTCACCACCAAATCCCTGTGGGGGAGTTTTTACTGCTTTGAGCTGTTTGGGAGAGATCCCCATTTTGGCGAAAGCATCCTGCGAAAGTATATTTGCTGCACTCCCATTATCAACTAGAATCCTCTTTATTTCGAAGTTAGCCACAACTGCAGAAACGACCAAGGCATCATCATAAAGATATGATATTCCTTGCAAATCTCTTGCACCAAAATTGATGTCTTTAACTTCATTACTGGATTCTCTTGGGGTATGAGAATGTTGGGGGGCATACTGCTTCCGCCCACTACTTGTGTCTCCGCCGGATGCTATGCCCCCAACGATAATATTAATGGTTCTGGCAGTGGGTTGAGCACTGCTTCCGACCCCAGGCTCTTTTCGATTGTCACGGTCATTCCTTGGCCGTTTATCGTGGCCAATGTAATTCTTTAAAAATCCTTTTTGATAAGGGCTTCAATTTCTCGCTGTAAAGCATGACAATCCTCTGTAGTATGCCCATGATCCCTGTGAAATTCGCAATACTTGCTCCTATCTCTTGTGTCAGGGGGCGACTTCATCCTTAAAGGCCACTTTAATTCTTTCATATCCTTAACCTCCATCAAGATGTTTGTCTTAGAGGTGTTCAATCGAGTGAGAGGTGCTGACGGCGCCTCATTCCTGCGCTTATCCCGAGGAAGCTCATGCTGGGAGACGGGATCATGCTGCCTCTTGTTCTCGATCTTTTAATGGGAAGGACCAGGTCTTCTTGGATTTAGTGTTTCCTCCATATTAATGTATTTTTTAGCTCAGGTGAGGAGCTCGGTCACCGTCTGCGGCGGGATCTTTGATAAAGACATCTTGAAAGTTTCACATCTTACGGCATAAGTGAGGGAAGAGACAGCTGCTGTGATGTGAAAGTCGGGTATTTGAAGCCTTTCCTTGTTAAACATTGTCATGAATCCTCGTAGGGTCTCAATTGGTCCCTGGCGAAGTTGCATGAGAGAGGCCGCGGTCTTCCTGATTCGCTTGCTACTTGCAAAGAAGGCTGAGAACTTATCAATCAAATCTAAGAATGAGGCTATGGAGTTGGGCTCCAATGTCGAGAACCAATCCCTATCAGCATTAGTCAGTGTTTGTGGAAAGGCTTTGCACATAACCTGATCTGGCGCAACTTGCAAGTTCATGACATCAGTGTATACATTGAGATGGTTGATGGGGTCGGTCATCCCATCATACTCTTTGATGCGAGGATATTTGAATCTATTGGGCAAGAGATATGACAATATCTCTGGCGTGAATGGAGTGTTAGGGGTGAAACCTGTTGGCCCCCGAGCATTCCGTTGCAGGCCAGCTGTAATTCCTTCTTGAATAATCCGGGCAATTTCACCGAAATCCATGGCGACCGATCTCAACCCCGAGGCCATATTGTGAGTACTCGAGGTTCCTACTCCGCTAGTTGTGGGGTTTGGTGGTCGTGCTCGAGTATCAGCCATAAAATCGCCATGCTCCACCTGCGCTGGCGACGGATGTGAATTTCTTTGACTTAAGAGTTGCGTGAGCGTGACCACCTGCTGACAGAGCTCTTCAAAGGCTTCGGTTGTGATGACCACTGGTAGAGGTGCAGACACTCCTGACGATTCTTCATGGGAAGCTGGTTGATCTTCGGCAGAATGAGGGATGGGAGCGGATGAGCTTGCGGGAGGAAGACCTGATCGTGTGTTAACCATGACTTTTGGTAGCGTTTCACACAGACGGCGCCAATGATGCTACCAAAAATCGTACCTATAGATTTTTCGAGTTTGATGATTCGGATTGAATACGATCGTAGTCTTTCGGTACCTGAAACAAAGATAACGAGGTATGTTCTCGTCACCTCTCCGATGCTTAAGTCAAAAAGGGAATTATAAGCGTGAGGCTATAAACTGGAGAATAATAAAAAACGTACCTGAATAATGGCTCAAGGTTTTGTATTTATAGTAGTAAGCAACATTCTCCTAGCGGGAATCAACTAGCTGTATGTCTTTATCTGTTGGAGTCCTGTACAATTAAGGAGTTGGTCAAATACCATTATATGTGAGATAGAATCCTTGCGGGAGTCAAGTATATGGTTGAGTTAGAGTCTTAATTGGATAGGAATTCTAAAAGGTCAATAATCGTAGGTTGTGAGGGGAGGGTATGCTCGAGGACTACTTGTGCTCGAGCACAAGAATCGCAATATGTAAAGCAGCAAGACAGTGAGTGCTCGAGAATAACCCCCGAGTTGAGCATATGCTCGAGCACTCCATATGTGGAATTGCAAGTTCATCCAAGATTTGTGGTCGGGCTAAAATGATCGAGCATTCATGTATTGATATCATAAAAGGGCGTAATCCTCGGGATAATATGGTGGTTGGGTTATCCCGGAATGTCAGTATCAGTATCTTTTCGGCAAAGAACTGTAGACCATAGTAGTACAGTCTCATTGAGTACCATGATAGAACGATGTGATGATCATCTAAGATTAGGCACATCAAAGCAACAAAAATCACTATGGGGTTTTGCATATTATACAATTGTTTACAATGATCGTGGGATAGCAATCTCAAATCGCACGAACCTTATATAGACCTGGACCACCTGGTGGCTTTCACTTCTCATAAGATCAGAATCAAAGATTAAACTACACTGCAATTCATTTCGAAAATATGGGCCATGTCTCGCTGCATTTTCGATATGATACTCATTTTTCTTTGCTTCCAGACACTTAGGTCTTTGTAGCTTATTAGATGCTTGTAACATTCAATATTTACTAAAATGAAACAGTAAATTAACTTCTCAAGAACCTATTTTACACAAATATTGACAAATTCTTCACCCAATTATCCCATTTCTCATCGTACACCGCGAAGTTTCTGATAACTACAAAATTCCATAAATTGATAGACGATTACAGACTCGGTTTCAGACAAATTTCCTGGTCAACATGCTCATAAATTCATAATCCTACACCATCTCTCACTGGTTACACGTAAAAACTCAATTCCCATAAACTTGCCACCTGCATATAACCCACGTCACTTTTCACCATTCATTTGCAGCAACAAATAGGGATATTAAGAATACATTGAATCTTGATTCAAGCCTTGAACAAAAGTTTCCGGGCACTTCGTCTAGAAATCTTAAAGTTTTTGCTTCGAAATGTTGGCTGTTTTTGAAAAATCAATTGGTAAACCTCCCAAGGAACTGATTCTTCCTTTTCGGGGGAAGTCCCATCTGAACAGTTCTAGAGAAGAAATTGCAGAAATATATCGTTTATGGAGATCGGATTCGACCTTTTATAACCTTCCCAATGGGAACTTCTTGGCCTTATCACACGAAGATGAAAATCCCGCGCATCCAAGGTATTAAAATTTTTGCTGGATTAACCTCTTTAAAATCTTAAGCTAACATGTTTGATGCCCATTTTGAAGAGAAAATGCATTTTTGAATAGTGAGTTTCTAGAGAATACGTATTTAAAAAATTAAAAAAAAAAAATTTATTTACATGTAGAATTATTTTATTGAAAAATGTATGATTGAAAATGAGTTTTGAAAAAATGAGGATCAAACCAGGGCGACTTAGTAATATAATTCAACACTTTCTGCTCCCCTGAGCATGTTTGGCCATGCTTAAAAAAATATAAGTTGGATTTAACTCCTTTTCTTTACTTTTAAGTCGGAGAAAAAATAGTGCTTGGCTAAAACTTGAAATTATGGAAAGTTTTTTGAGTTACTTTTATGTCCGCCGATAATCATTCTATCTGGTAGTTTGTTGTTTGGGGCATTAATGTATAGCATTACCGCTTAGATTTTTGTTGCGGTAAAACTTAGTTATTTATGAGTAACCTTCTAAACCAAAAATGACCCTTGCTTTAATTTTAACATGAAGTAATTAGAAATTTATTGATTTTACAACTTACTTAAGCCCTGTTTGGTTCAACTAAAAAGTTAGAATAAAATCCAAATCAAAGTCAACAATCAATTTGAACCACACATTTCATCAACTTTTATCAAAATCTAAATAAAAAATCCGATTTTTATGTAAACCAAACATCTGCTTGATTACTTATAATTAAGTTAATTTTCAATCCTAGCCAAACATTCTCTAAATCCTGAGGAGCATTAGTTTAGTGGTAGTCTTGGATCATAAGCAAAGCTACAAAATAAAACATCAATTTCTATGATTTGTTATTGTTTGCATGATCGCTCAGGTCAATGGTTGTTATGGATGGTATTTTCTGCTTATTCTCTGGTTATTTGCTTAACGCTTATGACCTCCGACGATATTATGGCCTTTCACGACAAGCAACAGAAGCCATGATCGTAGTCGAGGTTTATAAAGTACTGCGTGATCGAGCACCATATCCTCCCGACCAAGTTGTCAAAGAACTTGACGGAAAATTCGCTTTCATTCTCTTCGATTCAAAAGTTTCAGTCCTTTTCCTTGCTCGAGTGAGTCGAATATTTTCCTGCATGTATAGATAGTTCTAACGATCTTTCAGTAGATTAAGCAATAAATTGAACCGAATGTCAGCCTCGAGTTATCTGTTGTATTGTCTAATCCAGTTTAAAACCCATTTCAACTTTTTGGTAATTTTTTCAGGACAGCGATGGATGCGTGCAGCTTCACTGGGGAACTGCGGCTGACGGGTCCTTAGTATGCACCGATGATCCAAATGTAATCTCGGCTTCTTGTGGGAAATGCTATACCCCTTTCCCTCCAGGTTACACTCACTCACAATCTAGTAATCCTCAATGTACAGATTAAGCAGAGTTGAGTGCTGAATTCCCAGTTTGCAAATATTGCAGGCTGCATATTTTTAAGTGGCAGCTTGTTAATTAGTGTCCATTATCCGTTTCATAAGGTACGTGGAATTTCACAAGAAGACGATGAAGGGAACATCAATGCTGTTATTTTTAAAGTGGAGTTGTACACAAGAATTCACAGCATTCGACGTACTGGTAGTGCAGAGAATTGGGCAGATGTCACCATTGTTGAAGGAGAGTAAGAACCAAACAAAGTTCACATAGATAACTTTCGATTGTGCTTTGATTTTCGTTTATGTCGGATATTTATCTATTTTCTTTTAACATGGGAATCTTGAAATAATTTCAAACTTGTATCACATAGAACTTGTTTTCTTTCTTTCAAGTATCTATGCTGTGTTCATTGTTTATTAGGTAGAAAAATACACTCGTAATCCAGCTTAGTTAGATGCCGGTGCCATGGCCAGAATAGTCGACATTACTGGTCGAGTTGTATCATGATCGCCCTCATTGTTATGCACGGGGGTACCAAAATTTGAGTACATCGTAAATCCAGGACAACGATGGGGATTCTCACAGGCACAACTTCTTGGACAACATTCGTAAATACCGTTCAGAGGTGCGAATCCTGGAATTAGGAACTTCGACCCAACGGGGTTTGGTTTGTCGTGAGTTAGGTGCAAGGTAAATCTAGGACAATGATCCTGTGAATTACCACAACTGCTCGGACAGCATTGGTAAGGCTCATTCAGAGGTGGAAATCCAGGAATATAAAACCATGGAAAAGGGATGGTGAATTGCGGTGGAATGTATCCATCACCCCCGGAACCGCATCCACCTCCAAAGCCGCCACATCCTCCTTCGTCACCGCCAGTGTCCCCACAATCACCACAACCACCATCGTGAGGAGTTTCACCGCAATCATCGCAACTACCACCACCAACACCTCCTCCACAATTGCGATAAAAGTCAGGTGGGAACATGGTCATTGGGGGATTGTCGAAAATCTGTGCATTATCAGTCTTCATCCCTGGAAGGTTTCTGTGTGCAGTGCAGACTGCTAGACTTAGCATTAGTGCCATTATGGCAATGCAAAACCATTTCGGTATAGCCATTTTTGTGTGATTGATTCAAGTGAAGTCTTCTAGGAGGATTTATATAGTGAAGTTCCTGAAACAGCATGGCCTGTAATTTGGGGAATCCCATAGTAGAGGTAACTAGTTGAAGAGAAGTATAGGGAACACAAGTACTTCTTCACACATTCTAAACCGGTTGTTATTCATAGAATTAAGCTACTTAATCGACGATGGAAACGAAATAACTTAATTTATTATTTGATGAGATTTGAAATTAAGATCAAATTCCACGTGTCAAAAGATGGTCCTTGCGATCAAATTCGACGCGTAACAGAATTTATTACACGATGATGGGCAAGAATTAGACTATGGTGAAGATTTACTTTTTCAATGATTAATCAGAAAAGATATACTGATACTAGACAGTCATATAGGCAAGGACGAAGATGAGAAAGAATCACATTTTATTGTGAAATATATAAGTAAAGTCGAATAGATGAGAAAGAATCATATTCCTTGGTCGTAGTCAAGTTTGCTTTTCCTTTGGCTCGAGGCGGCCACTAATATCGTAGACTAAGAAGAAAAAATACAAAAATGAAACGAAAAATAAATGAAAGACTGATTATAACATTATTGAATGATAACCATAGGCCATAAACACTTAGCACACATTTATTCCTATTTATAATAAAATAAGGATAACAACCCTCCACTATTTTGTGACTAATGTCTATCCAAACATCAAATAACAAATTAACAACTTGCATTTATTCTTTAATTTGAATTTAACAAGCTTAACACTCCAAGATTTTCTACTCTCATCACTTGTTTGATCCTCATCATTTATGTTGCTAATTGTGTGACATTTCTAACAGACTACTCTTTCGGCTAACAACTTTTCATGGCACCCACAATTTTTTAACCACATATTTCATATACTTTTATCAAAATTTACTAAAAATCATATTTTAATCCCAAACAAGGACTTGATCATAGTCACCAAAGATATGAATTTTTATAGACAAATGACAATTTAGCTATCAAATAACAATATTTATTCATTTACTCTATATTATATTTTAGATTTTTGAGTGAATGTTATATCTAATTATTCAACCCAATGGAATGACGACTGCCCATGTCTAGCCTCCATTTTTTGAAAACTCATTTTCAAACAAACATTCTCCTGTAAACTAATTTTATGCGTAATTCCAATTTTTTTTTTTTAACTCGCATTCTCCAACAAAACGCTATTTCAGAATATATTTTGGCATTTTATAGGGATCAAACAAAGGGAGTTCTTATTTGATTTATCTACTAGTTTTAAAATTAGGTGAAAACAAGATAAATGGCGTAATTTTCTATAATTTTGCAATTATTAGCTATTAACCTTATCATCATTATTGAGTATTGTGCGAATAAAAAATATGCAAGTAGCCCCCTGGGGCACAACTCAACTGGTGGATCAATCAACATTGTCTTGCTTCCAGCGGGAGGGTAGAGAGTTCGATTCCTGGTGGGAACCTGCGGCCAAATATTTGGTATAGAGCAATCACTGTGGAGAAGAGTCTCTTGTGCGCAGAAGTGTACAGGCAATGGAGAGAATCTGTGATCCAGTTGAGACATAACCCGCGATTTACCCCCTCCAAAATTCTAGGAGCAAGGATCTTGGGGGTCGAGGATTTAGTTTGGTGTAAGCTAAGATACTTGGATATAAAAATAAAATAAAATATGCAAGTAGATAAATAATTAAAATTAAGCCTTTTAATCTACAGAATATATTTCAAATTAGTAACTTTACTTGTAGGTTTGGCTCAGTTCAGAAGGATTACTTTTAAGTAGAGAGAGAGAGAGAGAGAGAGAGAGAGAGAGAGAGAAAGAGAGAGAGGGAGAGAGAGTATCAAAATAAATAATATTTTTAATGAGATTTGAAAATTAAGAAGTTTGGGTCTGATTGATTGCGAAGATAGAATTTGAGTAGAAAGAAAATGAATTTTAGGGAATTGAATTACCTAGAAATTGTTTTCCTGATAATGGTAAATTATTGTATTTGATTGGTATAATTTTTCACGTGAAAAATGTTGAAGTAAAAATATTTTTTGGTGTTCGTTTGACTTTATTTTACATGAAAATTATCAATTTAAGGGATACTTTTACCATTATTCCTATAATTTGTTTCCATTGCCAATAAAAAAAAAAGATCCAAAAATCCAAAAATATCTATTTTTTGTGTTCGTTTGGCTTTATTTTACATGAAAATTATCAATTT